GGGAACAGACAAGTTGCTGTCTTTTTGTTCTTCAGTCTAGTTGTGGAGGACGTCGCTTCACTGGCCCATGTTGGTATTATCATTGCACTCTTCCCAGGTGAGGCAGTTGCTCGCTGGCCATTGGACGGCCGCTCATGGCGGCTCATGGCAGCTCACGAAAGCTAACGCCAGCTGCCAGCCAGCCCCATTGCAGCCTACCGTCGCCATCGACTCGGCAGCCCGGCTCCAGGTCGAGCTGTTGTTCACCATCTTAGCTGTAGAGGGCGCAGCATCACTGGCCCTCATGTGGGATCTGAACCAGAGCCCTGATGCTCAGAGCTGGCATCCCAAGCCAACTTCTAACCAACACGCCACTCGGCCGGCCCAGAAGTCAGACATTTAAAGTTGGTCTTAGCAGGTGAGAAAATTATTAATTTTCTTAAATATGCTCAGAAATAGGCATGTTACTGAGGCTCTGCCAAGAAGACTTGTCCTTGGGAGACTTGGGTTCAGAATGAGGCATGGGAGGCAATGGCTCTCAATGGCTCTCTAGCTGGTGCAGGAAGGCAGTGGCTGCCAGGGGGAGCACCTGGCACAGAAGTGGGGTCAATGGCAGTGGCAGTGACAGTGAAGTTCCTGGCCTGTAGTGCACGGTGGCCACAGCAGCTTGGTTTTTCTCATCAGGCCAGTTCTTTGGCGTGGTTTTAGGCATTTTTCCTGGGAATAACCTTGAGCCACTTTCTCCAGCCCTCCCAAAAGTTCCAGTGTCCTTTCATAAATCCCTTTTCTGCTTAATCCAGCTAGAGTCGGGACTGCTGTTTTGTAATTAAGAACTGTGACTGAAAGATGAGATCAGATGGAATCTCATGGCTTTGGGATAAACAGGAGCTATACACTAGGTTGTAGTGCACATGGACCCTGGTTCCGCTCTCAACTGTGCCACTTTGTAGGGGGATGACTGTGGGCAAATGACCAAACCTCACTGACCTACAGATTTCTCGGGTGTAAATAGGAGTAACGATCGGTGATTGTGAGGATTCAATGAGATCTGTGTAAAGAATCCAGCATGGTTACTGACACACAATGAGCACTCCATTCTAAGTATTAACTTATGTGTGCTGTTGTGCTAATATAATAATAAACAGAAGTTCTTGTGATTTTTAAGATTTGTTGAAAAAGTTCCATAGTTCTTCTCTTGGGGGAGTGTTGATTTCAAAGCTGATCTTGTCAGTTTACATGAAAATGTAGAAGGAACCAGTCAAGAACGACCACATATTGTACGGCTCCATTTATATGAAAAGTCCAGGACAGGGAACCTTGAGATAGGAAGTAGTTTAGTGGGTGCCTAGGGCTGGAGACTTTGGGAGGAAATGAGGAGTGACTAATGGTTCCAGGTTGTCTTTTGGGGGTGATACAAATTTCCTAGAATTGACTGTGGTCATGGTTGCACAACTCTGACTATACTAAGAACCACTGAAGCATGCATTTTATTTTTAAGATTTTTATTAGAAATATAGCTAACATACAATATTATATTAGTTTCAGGGGTACACGATAGTTATTCAACATGTATATACTTAAAGAAGTGATCACCATAAGCCCAGCAACCATTTGACACAATACTATGCTCTTATAATATTATTGACTATATTCCATGCTATATATTACATCCCCACAACTTATTTTATACCTGGAACTTTGGACCTCTTATTCCCCACCCCACCCCCTTTTTAAATGTATAAATTATAGCTGACATTCAATATTTTATATTAATTTCAGGTGTACAGCATAGTAGTTAGACATTTATATAATTTAAGAAGTGATCCCCCTGACCAGTCTCGTACCCATCTGGTACTGTACAGTTATTACCATATTATTTACTATACTTTACATCCCCATGACTATTTTGTAACTGCCAATTTGTACTTTTAATCCCTTCACCTTTCCCACCCTGCCCCCCAAACCCGTCCCATCTATCACTCCAAGAAATCCGGTACCCATCTGACACCATACATAGTTATTACAATATTATTGACTATATCCCTTATGCTATACCCTACACCCACATGACTACTTTGTAACAACCAATTTGTACTTCTTAACCCCTTCCCCTTTTTTCACCCACACCTCCAATCTCCCTCCCATCTGGCAACCATCAAAATATTTTCTGTATCTATCTATGAGTTCATTTCTGTTTTGTTTAGTTTTGTTCTTAGATTCCACATATGAGTGAAATCACATTGTCTCTCTGTCTGACACTCCACTCAGCACCTGTCTCTCTGTCTGACACTCCACTCAGCACAGCACCCTCCAGGTCCATCCATGCCACTGCAGATGGCAAGAACCCATTCCCTTCCATGGCCAAGCAATAATTCCATTGTATATATGTACCACCTCCTCTTTATCCATTCATTCATCGACAGACACCCAGGCTGCCTCCACATCTTGGCCATTGTAAACAATGCTGCAATGAACATAAATGGATGCACACATCCTCTTGGAAGTATAGTTTTGGGTTTCTTCAGATAAATACCCTGAAGTGGGATCACTGGGTCTTCCATTGTCTTTTCTTATATCCTTTGTTTTAAAATCTATTTTTTTGATATAAGTATTTCTCCCCCAGCTTTTTTTTTCATTTCCATTTTCATGAAGTATCTTTTTCCATCCCTTTACTTCAGTGTGTGTGTGTGTGTGTCTTTCAATCTGAAGTGATTCTTATAGGCAGCATATGTAAGGGTCTTGTTTTCTTATCCATTTAGCCCTCTTATGTCTTTTGATTGGGGCATTTAATCCATTTACATTGAAAGTAATTGTTGATAGCTATGTAGCTATTGCCATTTTATTATTCATAATTTTGATCTTTATTTTTCATCTTAAAGAAGTCTCTCTAACATTCCTTGTAATACTGGCTTGGTGGTGATGAACTCCTTTAGCTTTTTCTTGTTTGGGAAGCTCCTTATCTGTCCTTCAACTTTAAATGATAGCTTTGCTGGGTAGAGTACTCTTGGTTTTCATCACGTTGGATATTTTGCGCCAGTCCCTTCTGACCTGCAAAGTTTCTGTTGAGAAATCAGCTGACAATCTTATGGA